TGGCCTGTTATAAACTAGTCGGGGGGATCAGCAGGCATTGGGAGAGTCACTGTTCCCCCGAGCACCCCCAAGAGTGACCAGGAATAATGGTCACAAGCTGGCAGAGGGTAGGTTTAGGTTGGACACCAGGAGGCGCTACTTCACGGTCAGGGCGGCTAGGGTCTGGAACCAACTTGCAAGAGAGGTGGTGTAGGCTCCTACCCTGGGGGTTTTTAAGAGGAGGTTAGATGAACACCTTGCCGGGGTCGTTTAACCCCAGTACTCTTTCCTGCCATGGCAGGGGGTCAGACTAGATGATCTGCTCAGGTCCCTTCCGACCCTAGAAAGTATGAAACTATTTTAAATGCCCTTAGTATTGTGTAAGTGTAATGTGTAACTTTACCCTTAGAGACTATATCTCTTCTCACGTCATGGCTGGATTTTTTAAATAAGGTGAGACGCATGAACAGATGGCCCATAAATGCAGTCATCTGGAAACTGAGGCCACAGTATTTTTCATGTTGGACCCTCAACACATGTCTGTGGTTTGTTTTTTTTTCAGAGGGTATGCTTGAGAGGCCAGCTGGAAAGGTGAGGTTATATGACTAAAATAGGATACTTGTTTTTACTGGACATACTGTATACCTGTTTCTATAGTTACTATATATACCTGTAGAAGTGCAACATTTGATACAGAAAAATAAGTAAAAGCTTTCTTAGCCAGCCCTGGAGTGAAGTCACAGAGTCACTATGGAAGTCACACTAGCACTTTAGTGTGGTGAGAACAGCTGCACCAACATCTTTCACCTGTGAAGGGCAGAAGAAAAGAACTAGTGGGAACACTCTCGGGTAAACAGTCCAAGAAGGCCTTCGGAAATAAATGCTGATTGTACTCACATATATAAATAACATAGAAACTGGTTAAAGACAGGCCTGGCAAGCTTGTTCATGATTTTTTTCTTTTTTGGATCATCTTACAACTAAGTTCTACAGTGACTGGGTAATTTGGCAGGAATTAAAATACTGGGGGGGGGGGGGGGGGGAAATAGAAAATATTCATCTGTGGGATCTTAAATGAATCTCCTGAGCAGTGAAAACCACAAATGTTATTTGCATGATGAATGGGCACAGCTCCTGTTCGGGTTTTAGTACACATTTGTGTTTGGTGGACATATGAATACTGGCATGTCTGGAATTGTGTGCATATGCTACACACTCAGGATCATGGCATCTCTACAACCATGAATGTATGTGCCGCACATCCTGGACTATAGCACTTCCACAATTGTGTGGGTCTGTGCCATATGTTCAAGGCTCTGGTGCCTCCGGCACTTTGTGGTCACATGTTGTACATCAAGAACAGTGTCACTTCTAGTGTTGTGATGTCTCATGCTACTCCCCAAATGTTTGAAGAGCAATGATTGACAGTCTCTGCAGCATAATTAAAATCCACACACAGGCTAGAAGAGAAAAAAAAAAAGTGTTATTCTTATGCATCACATTGGGATGTTCAATGGAATATTCCATTCTCTCCTACTCCCTTTGTTAATATGATTTAAATAAAATCTCCAATAAATAATACAATATAAAAGAAGAAAATGAAGAGGTTTCTTGAATTTACTGTTGTCTGATCAGACATCAACGCATTGTGATATTCAGTGTTCCATTTCTGATCTTTTGCCACATAAAAAACTCTTAGCAAAACACTATGGAAGCAATTTTTGAGCACTAGACAAAAGTCGGGTTGTAATTCAGACAAAATTGTCCCTTCACACAAACATGAATTT